TACATTTCGCAATATAGAACCAATATCTCTGGTTTTTCCATAAAAGCACATATCTGCATAGGGAAACCAATAGCATATATGGATTGCATTTTGCAAAAAGGAACCACTAGCATTGCAATGTCGTTAAGATTTTGCAACTTCTTTTGTCTTGGAGGAAAAACCCGATTATCCATTAATAGTTTCTATTTTACTCGCTAAAAACTGTGAATTTAAGACAAAAATTACCATCTAAATTTTATAGTTTTTCACGATTTCCGCAATTTTATTGCAAAGGATGAAGTTGCACAATCTTAGCATCATTGCAATGCTAGCGGTTCCTTTTTGCAAAATGCAATCCATATGTTGTTAAAATGGGTCAACAATAGTAGTTCCTTATTGCAGTTGTAACCCAGATCACTCGACAACAATGTCACGAGAATGTCCGGTGTCCAGAGGCGCGTAGTGAAGGTTACCCCGGTGTGAAGAATTTTAAATCATATTGTGCCATTGTTGCTATTCTGCTTGATGAAAATACAGTATCCAACGAAACAATAGCAGTGGAATATGTCATTCACGTAAAATCTGGCAACCCCTCCACCCTCGCACCATGTGGGGCGCGGCGCTTTGCTTTACACACCTGGAGGGCCCGCGAAAACGGATAAGCCTCATAAATTAATATTTCATGCCGCGGAATCAGAATCTATGCAGTAGAATGAAAAATTAGAGGAAAGAATTGCGGAAAGCAGAAAAGTATTGTCGATTTCAAAATATTTGGCAGCAGTGGCGTGGCATGCTTTGCGAAATATCGATTGCTCTGCCATTTAAACCTACGGAAAAGGATCGATAAACAGGGTGCTCGCAGCGAACACCTTAATAATCGATTCTTTACCGCAGTTTCAAATGGGGGAATATCGATGAATCAATCATTCACTCCTCGCCACTGTTTTGCAGAGAGTGTTGGGTGAAACTACGTGAAACACAGCTTCCATTCGACTAAAAACCGATGTACATGAACGTATTTGACCATCACTGAACAGATAAGCTTTTCTTAAAGAAGCCCAACGTACATAGTTTGTTGTATCTCCAATTGAGACGTGGCAAGTCTCTGCTAGTATTTTATTTATTTATTTATTTTAATGCAACTATTTACAAGTTTCTAGTTGATCTTACTTGAAACTAGCGCCATCAATAGTGCTTCTCGTTAAATATTCGCCAGGAAAATAAATTCATACAAAAATCCTCAACTTTTGCGGGAGTTCAAAAGTGGGGTTTTCATCCATTTGGTAACAGTGGGGTCGTTAATGGAACAGTGTCGCACAGTGAAGGGAGTCGATGAGAGCAGTCGAACACGGTTTGGAACCTTTAGAAGCTCTTACCCTCATGGATACAGAAGTTTCAAAGTGGTCCCATTAGTTCTCTCGTTAAATTTCCTTCACGGAGCATAATCTTAAAATTCATAATTTTACGAAAGAAACAAATACTCGTTATTTCGTAGTTTTAGTTGAGAATTTCACTTCCCCGATTGTCCGTCCCACTGTGCGCCTTGGAGATGTGTAAAACAAATACCTCGGCCCGCCGCTCTTACATCCGTTTTGTTCATTCAGTTCCGTAAGTTGTCCTGAAAGAAATTGTGACGGATATTGAAGGTTATCTCACAGTTAGGCCGCGCTCCGCAGTTGGAAAGCGCGCCGGTGAATCACCTCGATCCTACCTCCATTGACGTCACAACACGTCGAGCTCCGCTAGACGAGGTTCATGGTCCTGCTATTTTTTACTCGCCGTACGATCAAAGCCCCGATGGGCTCAGAACTTGCGGATCGGGCTGGAATTATTGAAAGCGTCAAAGCCCCGTAGTGTAAGTGCACTGCAATTATACATCGACACCTAAATCCAAAAATAATGTATCTCCGATTGCGACAGTGCTAATTGGACCGGGTTAAGCAGAAAGGAATTAATGTCCTTCAGCCATCGCCAGATTTAATTGAGCAATTCAATGTTTTACATGAAAACGGTTGTGCTAATTTTTGTGCAAATCCCATAATTTGATCTCTGAACAAGGAAATTTTGTCCTCAGTTTAGTGAAAGCCAGCGTTTCTTTTAAAAAAAGTGGAAATTTTGTTCGGAGGTCAGGGAAAGTTAGGGAATCAAAAAATGTTTGATTCAGGGAATACAAAAATACTCAGGGAATCTGAGGATGAAGAAATCATGGCAACCCTGGTATTTCTCGGTTTCTGAGCCACTTTTTCGCTTGTTCAATGTGCGCATCGTGTTCCACGCATCATTTACCTTAGGAAAAATTTATTCGCAAGTCAAAATTGGACCGCGTTTAACAGAAAGGAACCAAGCTACATAATTTATCGTCAAATTATAATCGGGCAATTTAATTTTATACATGAAAACGGTTTTGCGGATTTTTGTGCAAATTTCAGTGAATTTTCTCCATAGCATGAAGCAAATTACTTAAAATATTCAAAGGAATCCGCACAAACGTTCACTCGTAAAAAATGAAATTTCCCAGTTAAATTTGGCAATAGCTGATATGGCTTTGGTTCTTTTCTGTTAGACGCGGTCCAATTCGTTCATAGTTTAGTGACCCATTGGTTCCAAACGATAGCTAACCCTGCTTAAAATTTCAAAATAAAGGGGTAATTTTTTTTTGCAAACATATTCTATGAGGACCTTGGGCCCCTCCATTCAATTTCACCAAATGCCCCCGCGGCCTCTCTCTGAGTCTGAATACGGCACCGTCTTTTTGACATGCTAGCTTTGACAGAGCTTGCTAAGCAGGACGCGCCGCATGTGGGTAAGCTGTCTGAACATCGATGAATACTGATGATTGTCTCGAATGAGTTTCGATGTCCTCCTCGAAACTCATAAACTCATGGGTGGGTGAGCGGAAGTGGAGTGTAAACCTCAATACGGCCTCTTTACTTTCGACTGAGGCTGGTGAGTACTGGCTGACGTCATTGAAATAGTTAACCTTCACACGATCGGGGAACTCCGGCCCTCCTTGCTTTTCATACTCCATTGATTTCTGATTGAAATTGCATATCAAGTGGACGCAATTGAACTTGGTGACGTAGCGTCCTAGTAAATCTCAGGATCATTGACATGTTTCAGGAGGCCTCAATTGGGATTTATTTGTCTATGGTGGGTAAATTAGTGCTGGACCCGCTGTGTCTATGAGCCGTGATGAGGCTCATATAACTTAGGGAAGAGGCCTTTCCACGAAAATCTATCTCTCAAGAACAAAAAAACATTTTTATAAAACACAGATTTTTTAGGAGCCAAAAGGAGAGGTAGATTTTTCACCACAGAGATACCAATTAGGGACGGCAGGGCGAAATATCGGGGATTTTTTTAAAAATTTTGCACTATCCTGAAGCTTTTCCCTCATCACGAAAGCTTCCGCATTGCTCCCCCACCCCTCCCCACAAGATTCACCTTATTATTGGCCGGTCCTGTATCATCACCCTCTCTAAATAAACTCCAATTCTATCTCCTCTCTCTTTCGAAAATTAATTAAATATTTTCTAAGAAATACTTCATTCACGAGATTATATTAGCCAAGCATGCGATTAATTTGTCTATATTAAGAATTTAGTCGCAGTCCATCCTTGAAGATGGAGCTCTATAAAATAACGTGAAATTATTAAATGCTTGTTTCGCAAAAATCCAAAAATCTTACAGACAAAATTTGACGTATTTATGCTAAAAAGAACTATGTGCGTAGGGTTTGCGCGCAACACAGCTCCTTATAGCATAAATACGTCTAATTATAAAGTCTGCACATCACGGGAAGTTGAAACTTTTTCCTCCGCCTCGCGTTATTCATACAGTTGGACTCTACGTAAAAGAATCCTCTTCCACTTTCAAGTCCGCAATATTTTATTTTACTGTATCTACAATCCAGTCGCGGAATATTTTATTTTGTCCAATTTAATTAAGCATGGAAGTAAGTTCGTCTTGCGGTCTTGATGCAACTTCATATCTCCACGGTGTGGTATCTGCCAAAAGCAAACATCAACTCCGTGACTGCTAATTAGAATCATTTTCTCTCCTTTTTAAAATGAAAAAATGCGGACGGATTTTTTTAAAATCCCGCTAAAAATGACGTGGAAAATGCGAAAGATGGGAAATGATTGACCACGATGAGTTCGAGGGCGGAAATGTTTACATTACACTCGCGCGCAGCTTGAAGACACCGTTGCCACGTCGTGCAGAAAACTGTTAAAGATGAGTATAATAAATTGAGATTTTTGTGTAATATTGGCAACAGTGCCTTCAAGTCTGACGGGGACTCTGTTGACATTACCATCCGCACCGATTAGTTTCTGTCTGGGCTCGGAGACATCTGCACGCTTTGGCTGTCGCATGTGCCGTGTGCGCCCCCCTAAAGCCTCCCCCTCCCCCGATGCAATGACAACAGCTCATTGCAGTCGATATGGGGAGGCCAGCTTGGGGCCAACTTTCGGGATATCTGAGCGAGCTTTGATGGAAAAGGGAGCGGTTTTCTGTTCGATAGGGCGGCTATGGATATAGGTGACACAAGTGTGTGTGTGTGTGGGGTAACGGCTGATGGGATGAGGCTGGCAAAATGTGGAAATGTTCCCATCTCAGTTTTTATTATTATTGAAGAGGGCTGATCCGTCGGTTTGCGGTGTGTGCAAACTTCTCAGCTTCTGGGCAAGCACGTATATACCGTGCTATAGGGTAGAACGCATATCATTCGAAGGCTGCTTATTTTTCGCGCGTATACGTAGTATGCCGCCTTTGCGATCACATGTCAGAATTAAAATCTCAAATAAAGTGCAATACGGGACAGTGACGTGGCGTGAATTACGATATATCGATTGCTATGCCATTTAAACCTATGGAAAAGGATCGATAAATAGGGTGTTCGCAGCGAACACCTTAATAATCGATTCTTTACCATAGGTTTAAACGGCATAACAATCGATAGATCGCAATTCACGCCACGCCACTGATACGGGAGGTATAAAAAAGATTAAAATACTCACTTTGGCTCCGGTTCTTCTTCTTCAATTTACTGCCGCTCGTCCCCATTTTCAAATGATAACTCGCAGACTCAAACGAGGAGTATCATCCGAAGGGTAACTCTATAAGTCTAAGCTGTGAATTAGTAGCGCAGGCGCTGCTGCGTATAGTAATCCGAGGAACATTGAGGTTATGCAGATTAACTTAAACACACACCACCGGTAAAATTCAATAATCGGGACAATTTTTGGCACTGATTTCTTCGGCGACCACTCATCACTCAGCTGCTGAAAAACACATTCACCGTTGAGATTGATCGCAAGATTTTGAATACCCAACTAGAAGTTTGTTGACTGTAATGACATTTGTGATAAATCTGAAAGATTGCACCTACTGAATGACCCGTAGGAATTACAGGGGGGAAAAATGTTCTTGTAGATATTTCAAATCAACTCTGTTCAGTGGCGTGCGGTGGGTTTAGTGACAGGGCAAGCTCTAGCGTTCGCCAGCCGGGGGGGGGGGGGGGGGGGGGTTAACGTAGTCTCTTTCCCCTCCTCAGGGAGCCTCCCTAGAAAATTGTTAAAATTTTACGGTATTTGCTCTATTTTTCGGATGAAATATGATGGAACGTCTTGAAAAACTGTGGTTTTATTACTTTCTCTCTTACTTATGATTTCATTTACTCAACTTGTTTCAAATGTTACTGAGCATTAGAGGACGGCTCCATGCTCTTCACTCCTAATTTTGCCACTTATTTGAGGTATTGTAGTCTTTATTCTACATTATTTAGAATTTTTTGAGTTTAAAATTAGAAATTAGAAAAATAAGTTAGAAAATTAGAATTTTCTGCGTTTAAAACATGATTGAGAATTTTCTAATTCATCACTAATCAGATCAAGTGGGGGAAATTTTATAGAATTTAAGGGCATTTGCACCGAAGGAGCAATTACAACCGCGACGGATAGAGGGAGCAAGATAGCGCATCGGAGGCAGAAGCAGCGCGCTACGGTGACGGGCGAAGAGAAGCGAGCTGCGATCGCGCAGCGAAGGGCTCGGACTCGGAACGTACCGCTCTACCCGCCCGCCCGCCTTGATTCCGCCGCGCCGAGCAGGGGCTCTCCGCTCAGCTGATCGCAAACGATTCTCCAGCGCATGAGTCGGCCCGTGTTCAGGCCGCGCAGCGCGCTGCGCCATGCCAGCGCCACCTCCATCCGCTCTGGTGCTTACCTTTAGTGGCACTATACGTATTTCTGTCTCTCTCTCTTTCTGTTTTTAATGCAATTTACATACTGAACACGCTTTATAAATATATTTGCTAAAATGTAAAACATGCATCTAACAGGTGTAAGTTTCTTCTTTCTTTTGAAATCTTTGGGCAAGCAGTGCTTGCCTTGCTTATCCGGACCGCACGCCACTGACTCTGTTGGTTTTTTTTAGTGTTTTAGACTCACGCTTAGCTTATTTAAATAAGAACAAATAATGTTAAATTAAATTACCTAGTAAATCTTCCAATATAATCTCATATCTGTTGCAGGGGAGGCTAGCTTAAAAGCTTTCATTTGCCGCAAAATTGAGTTTTTGTTCAAGTAACATTGATGCCATAATTGAGACAACTATACTAATAGCGTTTAGCTACGTCAGGTCTTTATCGATATTACGTTTTCAATACGAGTAAATTATGGTTTAACCCTCCCTTCCCTCCGAGACAGTAAATTTACACATTTAAAAGAGGAAAAAAGGAAGGAAAAATTTCGCGAAATATTAAAAAACGAAGTCGAGTATGGAAAAATTATCACTAAAGCCCACTTGGGAATGTGTATGTAGAGGATTTAGATTTTAAGTATCAAAAGGTCCCGTATACGCGAGTTATGTCTGAGAATATAACGCTTGCGACGCGTCCAATCAGTCGAATGAAGACCGGCTGCACGTTGTAATGCCCTTTCGCCTTCAACCTCGGGGGTAGGCAAAAACACCTCCTACGCGTTGATATAGTTGCATCCTGAGTATTGACTTGGTATGTGCGTCTTATTATTACGAGAATCGAGAGAGTGGAATGTATACATAACTCACTTTCGTATTATTACTTTGATAGTTACCAGGCCCGCCACAAGGGGGGGGATACTGGGTCCTTGGTACCGGGGCCCGGGCCCTGGAGGGGCCCGTGACGCAGGTGACAAACCACTACAAATTCATGTGTAACCCTTGTCTCGTAAGGAAAAGTGAAAACATTACCCTAAAGTTTCAAAAACACGCTAGGGCACTATAAAATTTGTCTTACTTTTTTAGAGATTTCTATCTCATCTCAAGATTTTGAGAATATGTAGAATCGTATTTTTAGTAACTGCGTTTCATTTTCTTCCGTTGTCGGATGCTGAGGGGCTCCTGATGTCTAGGCATCCTCGACTTTAATGGCTCAACTCTCTTTCCATAGACGTACGAAGGGGGAGTCTAGGGGGCCCGGCTTCCCCTAGAATTGAAAAGTATCATCTGCCCCCCTCAAAAAAAAAATTTATAGATGTTTTGAATGCAACAATTCGAAAGTATTTGGTGCTGACAGTAAAAAAAAAGGCGTAATTATTCTGCAGAAATTGATGGAAAATCTCCATCATAAGAGCTTCAAAATGCGTCCAAATATATTTTAAATTTCAAAAATTTCCCGGGGGAGGACCCCCGGACCCCCCTCTGTGCTAGGGGCCCGGGCCAGAAAACTGGTACCAGGGCCCGAGATGGGATGTGGCGGGCCTGATAGTTACATCCCAATACTCCGCCTTGAAGTAAATGCAATTTTATTCACGTTACTTTCCATTTTTAGGAGGGAAAAAAGGTAGGTCGGCTAAAGTTATCATGGTGATTTTATTAAATAGATGTACGTGCACCAGGACGTAATGTTTGCAATACGAAACTACCAGTTCCGACTCATTCCTTAAAACACCAACTTACATAGGAAAACTAATGGCACGAACTGAGCTAAACTGAGCTAGGAATAGTATGTTCTTAATTGCAAAAAAATAGTCCAATCAAGCTTGCTCAACCTCACGGTAATGAATATGCGAGCAAGAGTACAAATGGACAACATTTTGAAATAGGGAACCACTATATCTGGCTCATTTTAGGAACAACGTATGTGCAATTAGAATCAATATGCAGATATGTGCTATATTTTAAGGATGAGCTATAGAGATGGTAGTTCCCTTATTGCAGAACGCAGTCCAAATAAGGATGATCCATTGCTTTATTCATTCGGTAAAAACTGCGATTACTTTTTAGGAATACATGCAAGGTTAGGGCACACGGCTCGAGGATTTTTATCTACGCTACCGTGCTAAGGAAGAACGCTGTATGAACATTCGAGAGTCGTCAAATTTCCCGCGAAAAAAATGTAATTTGACGACATTCATCCACATTATCCCTTGAAATTTTCAGATATTTTAAATTAAATTGTGTACAAAACTGTCTAATAATTTGAGAAAATAATATTCACAATTTTCCCAGTAATTTCGGTTTGTATCTGAGAAATCTTGGCGACGTCTGAAGGCTCATACGGCGTTCTACCTTGGCACGGCACACGGTGGAACGAACTAATAGAAGAGGTAGGACACGTACGTTTCGGCTAAAATTTCAAATGTTCATGTTTCTTTCGTCACAAATTCAATTTTAAGGGGTGATCCTGAAAGAAAATTTCACGAAGAAACTAATGGAACCACTTTCAAACTTTTTTGTTTCATATTTTCAAAAATAAAAGCTTTTAAAGTCTCCAGATTTTGTCCGACCTCTCCTATCGACCAGTTCCAGTGTGCGACAGTACGGGCAGCAGCGTTAACGTTTAACGCACGTAACGTCATGCGTGTTGGATGTAAAGAGAATCGCGAAGAAGAAAATCACGGTAATGAATGTAACGAAAGACGATAAAAAATGCATAAACTGCGATAAGTGACAGCGAGCAAGGATACTGGTCGTGGCAGCCGCTCACCGATGACATCAGGGCACCTTGTCCCTCATGCTGTTGCGAGCTTCGAGCTTACAACTAGCTGAAATGATGAATGAGGAGTGAGGTGAGGTGAGCGGTGAGCGGCAGGAGGTGTGGTTTACGGCGCGGCGCGTGAACGGCTTCGCGTCTCGACGTGATGTGACGTCGGCATCGTGCCTCTAGAAGTTCTTGCTCCGAGGAATTTCTCACCTTCCCACCCGCAACAACAACAGTACAAGAAACAAACAATGAACCAGTACGATTGCCCACCAAAGGGACACAATAGCACGTCATCAAGCTATTTTGTCACCATGACGAATAGTTCAAATAGTCCTATGAGTGTCATTTCCACGGAGAAAGTTAGGAAGGTGGTGATAGCTTTTTCAATTGTACTTGTACACTGAGGGCATTCGTTCTCGAAATAGATATTCTTTCTTCAGGGAGACCCACAGTTTACATTCCAAGAGGAGGGCATTTGAGGAAAATTCTAATATGATCTTGAGAGTAGTAATTTTGTACGTTTCGTAATTTAGTAGTGGTCAAACACCAGTACTGTTTACCAGTGATGTGTATCACATGGGATCGCGCTTAAATGAAATCCCGTGTCGGAGAATAACGTATTCCCTTTATTTTTGATCAATTTTTTCAAGCTCATTAAAATGGAAAAAACATCCGGCAGCTTAAACTATTTTCTGTGTATTTCATTCCTGTAGGTTACAGAGTGGAGTATAATTGGTAATTATATCATACAGTACTGCCTCGCTAAGGAAAATGCCAGATGATCCTGCACTCATTACTAAATTTCCTTAGACAAAATCACGAATTTTTAGGAAAATGCATTAATATTCCTCCGAATTTTGTTGCCAATTTTATCCAAAATATCCAACAATTTTAAGGAAAAATACGAATAACATTCTTCAAAAATAAATATTTTCTTAGAAGAAATTTGACAATTTTCGAATGCTAATCGGAGTTTTTACTCAGCACGGCAGAACGAGTATGAGCTGGATTACGTTTTGTGACATGGATCTATTGATATTGCAATGTTGTTAAGATTTTGGGATTTCTACATTTACAATAAATTGATTAAAAATGTTTTTGGTCACCCTTCATGGGAGCCCACTGCGAGACCNGGGGGGGGGGGGGGGGGCACCTAGCTGCGCGTATGGATGAAAGCTGAGGCTAAAGTTTCTATTTATGCAAAGCTTTCTTGGAGATTGCTTTCAGATCTTCTCAGAAATGGTGTACATATTACGGAGCGACGCAAATAAATCAAACATCCAATTGGAGTGTGACTGATCTTGAAACTTTTCAAAA